CTAGCACGCTCTGACACCAGCGCTGCAATTGGTGATGGCATTTGGGCTCCAGCACTGCCACCCACATCTCGCTGAGCAGCGCCTGCGTCGGCTGCCACTGCTCGTCCTTTCTTGCACCCAGTGATCACAGCGCTCAAGTTCTGATAACGTCCGAATCCCAACATCGCCTCCCACATCTCGGTCACCAGCGCAAAAGCCCGCGGCCACTGACCACCTTTCACTCACGCGCTGTTCCTCAGCGTTGTGGCTGACCTGTGGGGGCCTCGTTGGGCCCTCTTGGGGCCGTCCTGGGCCGTCTTGGGGTTCGCTTGGGGTCCGCTGGGCCGTCGTGGCGCTCTTTGGAGGGCGTGTCGGGCCGCCTGGAAGCTCTCCGAAGCCTTCTTGGATATTCTGGGAGCCCTCGCAGTCAAAGATCGCCGGGAGGGCCCTAAGACGGCCCGAAGACGGGCCGAGACGGCCCAAGGAGGCCCCGAAGACAACCGAGGAGGCTCGATGGGCGCCCCCAGAGGGCCCAAAGGTGGCCCGCAAGAAGGCCAGGAGTCTCCCCCGAAGCCGTCTTGGAGCTGCCCCACGCCGAAAAGCCTGCGAAGCAGAAGACATACATCTTCCTTTGGGTGTTGGGAAGCTTGGAAGTCGCCGCGGCCTTCTAGACAATTCCTGCAAGGCCTCGTGGGGCGTCTAGGAGCCTTTTGGAGGCCTCCTGGAACCGCTTGAGATCTTTCAGACCCTCTCTGGCGGCTGCCGGGCCCAATTCTGGCCATCTCGGACATTACCGAAGGCTGTCTCTGCGACGTCTTGGGGACCCAGAGCCCACAGGGACCCGGAGGCAGTGCCGACGCCGCTGGAGGCCGAGAAAGCCTTTTATTTGGCGTCCGTGCGCCTTCTCAGTGGTCCTTGTGGGGGACTTTTTTGGGGGGTCCTCCAGGGGCCCTTTCGGGCCGTTCTGTGGCCGTTTTGGAACGTCTTGGAGCCCGTTTGGGCTGTCACGGGGCGTCTTGGAGGCCTTGGACTTTCTTGGGGTGCTCTGGAGGGCTTCCTGGGGCCCTCTTGGGAGCCTCGTCGGGCCCTGGAGCCGACTTGGGGCCTTCTGATGCCGTTTGAGGGCCCCCTTGGGCTGTCTTTGGGCCCTCTTGGACCGTCTTGGGGCCCTCTTGGGGGCCGCTTTGGTCGTCTTTGGGGGTTTGGGGGGGCCTCGTTGCTTGTCCTGGACTGTGGAACAAAGCAAAATGCGGATATGTTGTAAAGGGAGGTTTCCGGTAAGAATGTGACCATGTTTGCCTCTTTGGCGTCCTTCCGGGGCCCTCTCGGAGCGTCTTTGGGGCCTCGTGGGCCGTCTTGGAGTCACCTTCTGAAGTCTTCGGGGCGTCTCGGAGGCCTTGGACCGTCTTGAGTTCTCTGAAGGGCTTCCTGGGGCCCTTTTGGGGGCCTCGTCGGTCCCTCGCGGAGCCCTCTTGGAGCCGACTTGGGGCCTTCTGATGCCGTTTGAGGGCCCCCTTGGGCTGTCTTTGGGCCCTCTTGGACCGTCTTGGGGCCCTCTTGGGGGCCGCTTGGGTCGTCTTTGGGGGTTTGGGGGAGGCCTCTTGGCTTGTCCTGGACTGTGGAACAAAGCAAAAGGCGGATATGTTGTAAACGTAGGTTTCCGGTAAGAATGTGACCATGTTTGCCTCTTTGGCGTCCTCCCGGGGCCCTCTCGGAGCGTCTTTGGGGCCTCTTGGGCCGTCTTGGAGCCACCTTCCGAAGTCTTTGGGGCGTCTCGGAGGCCTTGGACCGTCTTGAGTTCTCTGAAGGGCTTCCTGGGGCCCTTTTGGGGGCCTCGTCGGTCCCTCGCGGAGCCCTCTTGGAGCCGACTTGGGGCCCTCTGAGGCCGTTTGAGGGCCCCCTTGGGCCGTCTGTGGGCCCTCTTGGAACGTCTTGGGGCCCTCTTGGGGGCCGCTTGGGTCGTCTTTGGGGGTTTGGGGGAGGCCTCTTGGCTTGTCCTGGACCGTGTACCAACACAAAAAGCCAGTATGCTGAAAATGTACGTTGTCCCCTAAGAATGTAATGATTTGTGCCTCCTTGGCGTCCTCTCGTGGCCCTCTCGGAGCGTCTTTGGGGCCTCTTAGACCGTCTTGGAGCCACCTTCCGAAGTCTTTGGGGCGTCTTGGAGGCCTTGGACCGTCTTGGGGTTCTCTGGAGGGCTTCCTGGGGCCCTTTTGGGGGCCTCGTCGGTCCCTCGCGGAGCCCTCTTGGAGCCGACTTGGGGCCCTCTGAGGCCGTTTGAGGGCCCCCTTGGGCCGTCTTTGGGCCCTCTTGGGGGCCGCTCGGGTCGTCTTCGGGGGTTTGGGGGGGACTCTTGGCCTGTCCTGGGGGTTTGAGAATGTGACCATGCTTGCCTCTTTGGCGTCCTCTCGGATCGTCTTTGGGGCCTCTTGGACCGTCTTGGAGCCACCTTCTGAGGTCTTTGGGGCCTCGAGGCCCGTCTCGGGAACAACTGAAGCCGTCTTGGAGCGCTCTTGGACCGTCGTGCAACGCCCCTCTTGGGCGCCTCTTGGGCCCTCGTGGGCGATTCGACCACGTGGTGTGGCCGTGGAGGGGCGATTTTAGCCACTTGACCGCCTGCCCTTCTGGCACGCGGTTCTGCCCGCCATGCAGTAGAGACTAGGGCTGACCCGTGGACCCCGTCCACGACATCTTTCTGGAATGGTTCTCGGAGGAACGGCGCAGATTGTGCCGAAAATCTACAAACACGGCGGCGGCTCGGGCGGCGGCAGCGAGACCGCGCCTTCGTGTCCGAGCTCTTGCAGCGCTCTAGCAGCTTGGCCCCGGCGCACTGCTCGTTCACCCCCCTCCTATTGAGGGCAGTTTCGAAATCTCTCAGGGATGTGCGTCGAAGTCGAAGCCCATCTGAGGCGTCTCAGGAGCGCCCGGGGAAGGGCTCGGGAGGCCATCGGGGAAAGCCACCGAAAGCGCCGGGTTGGCTCGCAAGGATCTGCAGGGAGGGCCCAAGAGAGCTTCAAGAAAATTTGAAATTCGGTAAAATCTTAACAGGAACCGCTGTTGGGTCGGCCATCACCTCCGGGCACGCCTTGATGGTGCGATCCAGTCGCATCGCCGCCAAAGGGAGGGTTTGTTCGCCATGTCCCATTCTGTTGGCCCAGAGGGTCCGTGGTGGCCTCCGGGCGAACAGAACGGGACAGGGCAAGGAATGGGAAAGACTTGTCCGAATCTGCGGGGCGGCCCTAGCCGATTCTCGGCCCTAGCCGCGCGCGCCTCTGGGGTCGGCCGAGGCGATTCTGGGCCACCGAGGCGATTCTGGGCCACCAGAAGAGCGAAACACGGCACGGCCAGGAGAGGGCTCCAGACCGACAAAAAGGGCAAGGGATTTTGGGGCCAAATCCTGCAGGGAGCGCCAAACAAGCATGAGAGGCCCATCGTGCGCTGGGAGCCGTTTTGGGACCGTCTGTGGCCGTCTCAGGCCGTCTTTGGCTGCTGTTGGTACTGTCTTCGGTGCTTCTTGGGCCGTGATCTTGGGGCCTCTGGTGGTCGTTTTGGAGCCAGCCTCTTAGCCTTCTTTTCGGCCTCCTGGAAGCCTCCTGGGCCCCTCTTGGGGCGTCTCGGGTGCCTCTTGGGCCGTGTGGAGGCGGTCCGGGGCCGTCTGAAGGTTGTCTGGGGCCGGCTTGGGCGTCTCTGGAGCAGTCTGGGCACCCGTCTGGCGGTCGTCTTGGGCCGTCCTGGGCCGCTCTTGAGGCTGTCTTGGGTGCCCCGTGGGCCACAAGGGGCGCCTCAGGAGCCGTCCTAGGGCCATTGGGTCTCTGTATGGCCGTCTTGGACGGTGTGAAGAGGGCAAGCCCAGGAACTGCCAAAATGCACGTTTTTCCCTAGGGAATGGGCCGATATTTCAGTGTTCGGACTCTCTTGGGGCTCGTCGTGGAGCCCACTTGGAGCGGTTTGGAAGCCTTGGGCCGTCTGGAGGCCATCTGAGGCGTTCTCGGGGCCGGGTCGTCTTGGGCCGTCCTGAACCGCTCTTGAGGCTGTCTTGGGTACCCTGTGGGCCGCCAGGGGCGCCTCTGGAGCCGTCCTAGGGCCATCTTGGGACCCCGTATGGCCGTCTTGGACGCTATGGAAAGGGCAAGCCCGGAAACTGCCAAAATGTACGTTACTTGGAGCGTTTTGGAAGCCTTTTGGGCCGTCTGAAAGCCGTCTGAAGCGTTGTCGGGACCGTCTGGGGGTTGCCTGGGTCCGCCTTGGGCGTCTATGGAGCAATCTGGGCACCGTCTGGCGGTCGTCTTGGACCGTCCTGAGCCGCTCTTGAGGCTGTCTTGGATACCCCGTGGGCCGCCAAGGGCGCCTCAGGAACCGTCCTGGGGTCGTCTTGCCGTCTTGGGGCCCTCATGGGGGCATCTTAGGGCGATCTTGGGGGCCTCTATGGCCGTCGTGGGTGCATCGGAAACGAAAAGCACGATAATGCCCAACATTTAAGTTTTCCAAAGGAAATGACACGATTTTGGCCTCTTGGGGCTCTCCTGGGGGGTCCTCCAGGGCCATCTTGGGAGCCTCCTGGTCTGCCTTGGTGGGGGCTTCTGGAGCCGTCGAGGCGGCCTCTTGAGCGGCTCGGAGCCGTCTGTGGGCTGTCGGGGCGGCCTCTTGAGCGTCTCGGAGCCGTCTGGGGGCTCTCTGGGTTTCGCACGGGCCGCCGGGGCGCCGACTGTGCTTTCCCCGTGACCCGCCTTTCCCGCACGCGCGCGCCCCTGCATTGTAGTAGATACTAGGGCTGACCAGTGGACTCCGTCCACGACATCTTTCTGGAATGGTTCTCGGAGGAACGGCGGAGATTGTGCCGAAAACCGAAAAGCACTGCGGCGGGCGGCCGGGGCGGCGGCAGCGAGACCGCGCCTTCGTGTCCGAGCTTTAGCAGCGCTCCAACCGTCGCGTGGCCGCTGTCGGCGCCGTCATCGTCGGCGTCGTTGTCGTCGCCGCCGCGAGGCCGCCGTCGTACCCGTCGTTGTCGACGTTGTTGCCGTGGTGGAAGGGGTGGTCGTCGTCGTGGGTTGTGGACACCAGAAGGAGGCTGGCGACGTCGGTAGGACTGCCCCGTGGACTCCCCCCACGAAATCTGCACGAAACGGCATCTGATTGCGGGGCCCGACCTCACATTTCGCGCATGTTACTGCGTGCTGCTGCTTGCTGACGCTTTTGTGTACCTTGGTAGTGCTTGAGGCCGCTGCTGCGTGTTCTTGCTGCTTGTGGCTGCAAGTTGTCGCTGATGGCCAGTTCCGACTGGTGCGTGCTTGTACCCGCTGCCTGCAGCTGCTTGCTGCTGCTGTCTGCCGCCGCTGCTGCTGTCTGCTTCCACGGGAGAGATCGATGCTGCCCCAGGGTATTCGAAATATCGCACGGTGGACTGTGCATGGGGGCTCCCTGTGGACGCGCATGGAGGCACGTCCTCTTGGGCGCCGTCTCCGCGCCCCTCTGTGATCAGACTGTGTTGGGGACTGCGCTCCATGGAGGCATCTGGTGTATCTCGCCTCACTTGGGCGGCAGCGGCGAAGGGCGCCCTGGAGCTGGGAGGCAATAGCAAAGGGAAGTAGCGCCCATGTTGATGTGCATAATTCGGCGCTCTTTCGCTCGCGCGCGCATCCACGGAGGAGGGCAACGCTCCCTATGCGGCCACTGATGGCGGGCGCTTCCTTCTCCTTGGGAAACCTTTGGGAGCCTTTCGGGGTTTCTTTTCGGCCTCCTGTTGGCCTTTTAGGAACCCCCTTGGACTGTCTTGCGGCCTCCTGGGGGCCTCTTGGGCCCTCTTGGGCCGTCTTGGGTGCCCCTTGGGCCGTCTTGGGGACATCTGCGGCCGTCTTGGACGCCTCTAGGGCCGGCTTGGGGCCGTCTTGCGGTCGTCTGGGGCCATCTTTGGCCGCTCTTGGGGCTGCCTTGGGCGGCTCTTGGGCCGTCGTTGGCGCCTCGGGAGCGGTCCTGGGGCCGTCTTGGGCCGTCCTGGGGCCGTCGGGGGCCGTGTTGGGGGCCTCCTGAAACATCTTGGGCCTGTCTTGGGGGCCAGTATTGTCGTGGACGCTTCGAAATCGAAAAGCACAGGAGTTGCGAACATGTGTTTCCCCTTGGGTTTGGAAACGATTTTTGCTTGTGCGATCTCTCTCGGGCGTCTTCTGGGAGCCCACTTGGAACGTCTTGGGGGCCCCTTGGGCCGTATGGTAGCTATCTTGAGCGTCTTCGAGCGGTCGTGGACCGTCTCGGAGGCCCTCTTGGACCGTCTCGGGGCCGTCAAGGGCCATCGAGCCTCCGTGAGGAGGCCCTCTGAGGCCGTCACGGAGCGCCCGGGGGCCGCCCGAAGCCGTCGCGGAGCGCCCCGGGGCCGCCCGAGAGCGCGCGGGGCCCCGCTGGAGGGCTCTGTGCTGCCATTCGATCCGCTTTCCTTCCGGCACGCGCTTCCTCAGGCCATGGAGTATAGGCCAGAGCTGTGTTTTCCCCATCCTACTTGAGGACCACATCCCAGAAATAATTTCGAGCACCGGGCAGAGTGTCAAACGAGTGTCGAAACAGTGTCGGGCGAGTGTCTCCCAGGGCCCGACACGTGAAAACCCTCGAGTATCGGTACTTTTAATTGGGCGCTCGAAATTCTTTCTGGTGATCAAGGCTACAGTAGGTTGGAGCATCATAAGGCTAGAGCTGTCCCCAGGCCCGCCTGCAGAAGCTGAGGACGCCCGCCTGCTCGCCCGCTGTGCTGCGCGCGTGCCTGCTGGCCAGACGGTTGCCTGCCCGACGTCGCCGCCAGCATGCCAGCAGGCCTGGGGGTCGCAGCTGGCCCTCCGCCGCACGCCGGCGGGGGTGGCCGGCAGCCGGGCGCGGGCAGTGCTGCGGCTGCTTGCTCTCTTCTGCTAGCTACTGCTTGCTGACGCTGCGGGCTGGTGCGCTGCCAGGTCTGGAGGCCGTGCTGGGGGACCCTATGGCCGCAAGGACTGGGGACCTCTTTGGGCCCTGTTGGGGCCGTCTCGGGGCTCTCTGGGGGCCTGTTGGGCCGTCGTGGCGCTCTCTGGAGGGCGCGTCGGGCTCTCCGAAGCCTTCTTCCATATTCTGGGAGCCCTCTGGGGCCGTCCTGAGCCTCTCTTGAGGCACCCAACGACGGTCCAGAGGGCCCGAAGACGGCCCGAAGACGGACCGAGACGGCCCAAGGAGGCTCCGAAGACAGCCCAGGAGGCTCGAGGGAGCCCCAAGAGGGCACAAGGTGGCCCGCAAGGAGCCCAAGAGTCTCCTCCGAAGCCGTCTTGGAGCTGTCTCGTCGAGAAGCCTGCGAAGCAAAAGACACACATTGTCTGTGGGTGTGGAAAAGTTGTTTGAACTTCCCGTGGTCTTCTGGGCAATTCCTGCAAGGCGCAGCTGTTGGAGCCAATTCTGGCGATTCCGGACATTGTCGAAGGCTGTCTCGGGCCGTTTTGGGACGTCTTGGGAACTTATAGGAACCCGACAAGGACCTGGAGGCAGTGCCGACACCGCTGGAGGCCGAGGAGGCGATTGGCCCACACACTTGTGCCGGAGTTGAGGGGATGATGATAGCTTCGGGCTTCAGCTTCGCCTCCCGGATCTCGCTCAGCAGCGCCAGAGCCATCCGCCATTGCTCGCCCATCTCCCACTAGCTGGCCCGAGCGTTGCATCTGAAACAACTGTATCGTACTCGACATGTATTGGTTCATTCCCCTACAAATAGGTCGCGCACCTCTTTGAACAAAGACAGCACTTGGCTCCATTGCCCGCTTTGCTCGCACATGTTGGCTGCAGTTCTGTAGACCATGAAATCAGCATCCAACTTTCTCAAACGAATGGTCCTGAGCATGCTCAGCGCCTGTTGCCACTGCCCACCCTTCTCGCACGCGCTGATCCCAGCGTTGAAGCTGACAAGGGCGAACCCGTGGACTTCGTCCACGTCATCTTGGGCCAGTCTTGGCTCGAAAAGGCCGTCTTGGCTTGTCTTCGCTCGAAATGGCGAGAAGGTGGAACTCTTTCAGATACCATAGAAGAATCAATGATTTCGTTTGCCGCGGCTCGTCCGGAGCGTCTTCGAGCGGTCTTGGGTCGTCTCGGAGGCCCTCTTGGACCGCTTCCTTCTCTTCGTCCGCCTTCCGCTCTACCTCCGCCTAGACAGCCTTCGGAGAGTCACAGACGGCTATGGTGGGTCTGCGGTGTACGTCTCGCCGCTTGTCAATTTTGACAGCACCTGGGGCCTTGAAAAAAGTCACCCGGAGGGCTCAGGTGACTTTTTTCCGGTTGCCTCTTCGAAGCCTGATGGCGGGCGCTGCCGTCTCCTTGGGAACGGTTAGGGGGCCCCTCGGGGTTTCTTTTCGAGCTCCTGGGGGCCTGTTGGGGCTTCGTTGGCTGTCTTGCGGCCTCCTAGGGGTCTCTTGGGGCCCTCTGGGCAGTCTTGCGGGCCTTTTCTCTTGAAATTTTTTGGGTGCCTCTGGGGCCGTTCCCGGGCTGTCCCCCCGAGCCTCTTCCGGGGGACAGCCCAGGAAATCGATTGTGCTTGCGTGCTGTGCGTGCGTGCTCCTGTGTGAGAGGTCGGAAGGTGTCCCGACGTCACCGCTCGCTCTTGGAAGCTGTGCCTGGGAGAGCTCTCTACGCTGTGTCTCGCTCTTGGGAGCCTTGGTGAGAAGAGCGTTGTACTTCACCGATCGCTCTTTTAGTGGGCGTCTTGGGCCTGCTTGGTGGTTCTTGTGGAGTCTTTTTCGGGCCATTCTGACGCTTTTGGGGCTGCTCTGGAGCGTTTTGGGACGTTTTGGGGCCTTTTTGGGCCGTCACGCGGCGTCCGGGAGGCCTTGGACCGTCTTGGAGCTCTCTTGAGGCTGCCTGAGGCCGTCCTGGGAGCCTCTTGAGGCCCCCTCGCAGCTCCCTTGGGGCCGTCTTGGGGTTCTGTGAGGCCGTAGGGCTCTCTGGCGTCGTCTTGGGGCTCGTGTGGGCCGTCTTGGAGCCCTCTTAGGGGCCGCTGGCGTCTTCTTGGGGCGATTTGGGAGGCCTCTTGGCGTGTCCTGGGCCGCTGAGGAGCACACAAGGCGGACATGCTGAAAACAGACGCTTTCCCATAGGAATTTGGCGATTTGTGCCTCTTTGGCGTGCGCCCGGGGCCCTCTTGGGGCGTCTTTGCGGCCTCTTGCATCGTCGTGGAGCCCCCCCCGGAAGGCTTCGGGCCCTCGTGGGCCGTCTCGGGACCCACTGAGGCCGTCTTGGAGCGCTCTTGGACGGTCTGGGACCCCTCTGGGGCGCCTCTGGGACTGGCCTGAGCGATGAGCGATTCGGCCCCGTGGTGACGCCGTAAGGGGGCGATTTTGTGCACACGAGGCCCTGTGAACCATTCTCGCACGCAGATCCACTGGCCATGTAGGAGAGACGATGTCGGGCTCCATCTTCGCCTCCCGCATCTCGCTCAGCAGCGCCAGAGCCCGCTGCCACTGCTCGCCCTTCTCGCACGCGCTGATCCCAGCGTTGTAGCTGATGATGTCGGGCTCCAGCTTCGCCTCCCGCATCTCGCTCAGCAGCGCCAGGGCCCGCTGCCACTGCCCGCCCTTCTCGCACGCGCTGGTCCCAGCACTGTAGCTGATGACGTTGGGCTCAAGCTTCGCTTCCCGCATCTCGCTCAGCAGCGCCAGCGCAGGCTGCCACTGCCCGCCCTTCTCGCACGCGCTGATCCCAGCGCTGTAGCTGATGACGTTGCGCGCCAGCTTCGCCTCCCACATCTCGCTCAGCAGCGCAAGCGCCCGCTGCCACTGCTCGCCCTTCTCGCACGCACTGATCGCAGCACTGTAGCTGATGATGTCGGGCTCCAGCTTCGCTTCCCACATCTCGCTTAGCAGCGCCAGCGCCCGCTGCCACTGCCCGCCCTTCTCGCACGCGCTGATCCCAGCGTTGTGGCTGACTGGCGTGAAGCCGTGGATTAAATCCACGGCGTGCTGAGCCTGGGACTCGCACACCGTAGGTAACCAGCTCGTCGAAGTTGAATAGCTCGGGCGTTCCTGGGGCGGTAGGGGCGACCTTCGGAGGCTCATGTGACGGTCACGTTTGAGGGCAATGGCTGGGGGCCGTGTGGGGGCCTCTTTTGGGGGCGCATGGGAGCTACGCGTGGGGGTGACGTTTGGGGGTCACACGCTTACTGGGGCGGTAGGGGCGACCTTCGGAGGCTTTGTGTGTGGGGGCCGCCTTTGGGGGTCCCGTTTGGGGGCCACGTGTGCGGCCGACGTTTACAGGCCACGTCTGGGGGCCACCCCAGAAAGCAGTCGGGGAGCTCCGGGGGTACTGACCTGGAAGCGTGAAAAGAAACTGGTTTTTTACCTAACAGCGAAGACTGATAGGTTTCTAGTTGACTCAAAAGAGCTCACAGATCACTCCACAGGGGGGTCCGGGCAGGTGTTGGGGAGTTGCCGGGCGGCAGGGTGCCGGGCTCGTTTTTCACCAACAGTCACACACTTCGTGCTCTTCGACTTCCCAGAACTCCATTCCCAGGCCACATTCTGAATACCCGGATGCAACAGTCACACACTTCGTGCTCTTCGAGATCCCAGAACGCCATTCCCGGGCCACATTTAGAATAACCATGCAACAGTCACACACTTCGTGCTCTTCGACATCCAGAACGCATTCCCGCCACATTCTGGATGCCCGGAGCCAACTGTAGGCCACTTCGTGCTCTTCTATTTCCCAGAACTCCATTCCCGGGCCACATTTTGAATGCCCGGAGCCAACTGTAGGCCACTTCGTGCTCTTCGAGTTCCCAGAACTCCATTCCCGGGCCACATTTTGAATGCCCGGAGCCAACTGTAGGCCACTTCGTGCTCTTCGAGTTCCCAGAACTCCATTCCCGGGCCACATTTTGAATGCCCGTAGCCAACTGTAGGCAACTTCGTGCTCTTCGACTTCCCAGAACTCCCATTCCTGGGCCACATTTTCAGCAGGGGCAAGAGCACGACGAGGAGGAGGACGAGCAAGACCAGGAGGACGAGGACGAGCAGGAGCAGGACGAGGAGCAGGAGGAGCAGGAGAAGAAGGACGAGCAGGAGGAGGAGGAGGACGAGCAGGAGGAGGAGGACGACCAGGAGGAGGAGGACGACCAGGAAGAGGAGGAGGAGGAGGAGGGAGGAGGAGGAGGAGGGGGTGAGATCCAGGAGGAGGGAGAGGAGGAGGAGGAGGAGAGGGGAAGGAAGAGGAGGAGGAGGAGGAGGAGGAGGAGGAACGAGGACGAGAGAGGAGGAGGAGGAGGGGGGGGGAGAGTACCAGGATAGGAGGAGAACGAGGACCACCAGGAGGAGGAGGAGGATGAGGAGGAGGAGGAGGAGGAGGAGGAGAGAACACCAGGAGGAGGAGGACGAGCAAGACGAGGAGGACGAGAACGAGGACGACCAGGAAGAGGAGGAGGAGGAGGAGGAGGGGAGGGGGAGGACTACCAGGAGGAGGAGGAGGAGGAGGAGGAGGAGGAGGAAGAGGAGGAGGAGGACGAGGAGGAGGAGGAGGAGGAGGACGAGGAGGAGGAGGGGGGGGGAGAGCACCAGGAGGAGGAGAACGAGGACCACCAGGAGGAGGAGGAGGAGGAGGAGGAGGAGGAGGAGGAGGAGAGAGCACCAGGAGGAGGAGGACGAGCAAGACGAGGAGGACGAGAACGAGGACGAGCAGGAGGAAGAGGAGGAGGAGGAGGAGGAGGAGGAGCAGGAGAAAGAGCAGGAGGAGGAGGAGGCAGGCTGAGGCTGAGGCTGTGACTGCGACTGCCGTTGCCGCTGCGACTGTCATCGCGAATGCTACTACGACTGCGAGAACAGCAGAATTCGACAACTGGATTTTCGTCTGAATCTTAAGGGGAATGCTTTCAGATATGCTTCTACACATCGCTGTTAGGTTGCTTTGCCGGGATAATGCTAATCGCACCGGGCCTAGGCGCGATTAGCAAAAACACAAGGGTTTTCAGGCACAGTCAGAGTGAGGGGGCACGTTTGCGGGCTTCGGTTGGGGGCCGCGCAAGGGGGTCTTGGGGCCATCTTGGGGGTCTCGGGCCGTCTCGGAGGTCGCCTTGGGCTCTCTTGGGCGGCATCTTGGGCCCTTCTGGGAGCGTCTTGGGGCCATCTTGGGGGTCTTGGGGCCGTTTCGGAGGTCGCTTTGAGCCTGGTCGGGCGGGGTCTGGGGCGCGGTTGGGGCTGACTTGGGAGTCACTTGATGCTCTCTTGGGCCGTCTTAGGGCCCTCTTGGGCCGTCTACGGGCCTTCTCGGGCCATCTGGGGGCCCTCCTGGGCCCTGTTGGACCGTGCAGGGGCGATGCGGGAAGCCCCTGGGGCCATCCTGGGCCGTTGTGGTCCTGAAGTGGCGGGAACAGGAAAACCCTTAAAACCTTCGGAAAGCGGATAAGTTTTGCCCCTTGGTGCTGTCCAGGCGGTCCTCGGGGGCCGTCTCTGAGGCCTCTTGGGGCCGTTAGGGAGCCGGCTTCGGGTCGTCTGTGGGACCGTCTTGGGGCGATCTGGAGGTCCTGGAACCGTCGGCGAGCGCTCCAGGGGCCTCCTGAAGCCGTCGAGGAGCGCCCCAGAGGCTCTCCCGGCGGCCAGCGGGGACTCTGGGCGGCCCGGGGCGCTGCCACAGATTGTCCTTCTCGCACGCGCA